GCCAGGCAGGGACGCCCCTGCACAGAGACAGCCAAGTGTCCTGTGGAAGACAGCGGGGCCCAGGGCTACTCCTGCGTGCCCAGTAGTGACAGAGCTGCCGAGGCCCTTCTGAGGGCATTGCAGACCTCTCTGGTCTCTTCATGCGCGTGCTGTCCGGAGGCCGGGCCTGGAACCATCCTCACGGTCAGATGAGGAGACAGGTTAGAGACATCCATTGACCTCCTCGAGGTCAACGGCCTAGGAGTGGGCACACAAGGGCCGGCACACCCCGATCCGTCTCTGCATAGGTCAGTAGAGGCTGGGGCAGGCTGGCTCCGGTGACCGGAGACAGCAGAACTGGACGGAGTTCCAGTGTTCTCCCGCCTCGGGGATGGGGGTCAGCCTGCGACTGTCGTCAGCCCGTGCTGTTTGTGTCCACCTGTGAGCCTCAGGTGGCCTGCCAGAGCCAGGGCTCCCTGTCGGTGGGCAAGACGTGCTGGTGATTACTGGGTGCTGCTCTGCTCACAGAGCAAGAACATGGGGACAGACACCAGGAGGAGCCTGCAGCTATGCCTCAAGTCCCTGATGCTGGGCACGATGGACAGCAGGCTCTGGGAGCATCGTGTCCCTGTAGGAAGAGGTCTCAGACAGGCCTCCCTGTAGACAAGGACAGGCCCTTCCCATCACCAGGGCAGCATGGCGGGAGGTCTGTGGACAGGGGCGTGGACCTTTCGGGGATCAGGAAGCCCCTCCTGCACGGGGCAGCCCTGAGAGGAGTGGCCCTGGGGCTCTGCTGACGAGGCAGGCATGGGCAGTGTGTGTCTCAAGAGGAAGAGGCCCGTGGCCCTGGGCCTCGCCAGCAGGCTCCTCCCAGGGCTGCAAAGGAAGACGCAGGCAGGAGCTCAGGGCCCACAGGGCAGCTCCTGCAGTGGCACAGCCCAGCAAGCTCAGAGCTTTCCTCCCCCGGGGCCCAGCGGAGATGGCCAGTGTGGGGTCGCACCCAGGCGCCTGCCCAGGGAGGCCCCTTTATTGGAACCAAGACCCCCACACCAAGTCCTCTTCTTCTGTACTTTGCCCACACTGTGCCTCCCAGGGTCCCTGTGTGGGGTGCCCCTGGCACATCCCCTGTTCCACCTCCTGGGTCCACCCCCAGAGCCAGTGTCCAGCAGGTCCCTGCAGCATGGTCAGGGTCTGGCACTTGCCCATTGGGAACCTATTTTGATCTTTGTTTAAATAAAATAACCCTTCACTGCAGGGTCAATGGCAATGTCTCTTATAAGGTTAGAGAGTGAGTGTCCTGCTGGGTGGCATGAAGTGCCTCGGTGACACTGTCCCCAGGGCTGGCCTGGCCTTGTGCAGCAGGTGCTGTGTCAGATGTAGGCTGCCACCAAGAGCCAGACTCAGTGGGTAGGAAGGAGACCTTCCCCACAGCCCTGTCCCAGCGGGGCACAGGACAGACCAAGGAGACCCTCCCCACAGCCCTGCCCCCAGTGGGACATGGGATAGACCAAGGAGACCCTCCCCACAGCCCTGTCCCAGTGGGGCACAGGACAGACCAAGGAGACCCTCCCCACAGCACATCCCCCAGTCGGGCATGGGACAGACCAAGGAGACCCTCCCTACAGCCCTGCCCCCAGTGGGGCACAGGCAGATCATACCCCAACAGCATGGCTACACTGGCTGGGAGCTGGAGCAGGGTCAAGAGAAGGAAGGCAGGAGGGGAGGGCTGCAGGTGCTCGACCCAGCTGTCCCCCAGGAAGTAACAGGACCCTGGCTCTGCTTCCCATGTCACCATGCTCCCCAGCACACCCGAGGGGATGGGGTGAATTTGGATATAAGGGACTGACACCCTTGCCTGGGGCTTTGCTGATGGGCTCTGGCAAGAGTGGGGTTGGGCTGGGAATGGGCTGCACAAAGGTCCCCCGCTCCCTGAGGCCAAGTTTCCCTGTGTTCCTGGGTTGCCCCTTGCTGGCCTCGGGGCCATGTGCCCTGACTTTCCTGCAGGACAGGGATTAGGTCCCAGGATGCAGGGTCTCTTTGCACTAATGTCCAGTGTCAATGCCCAAACAGAAGCACATTTGCACACTATGCAGTTCTGTCAGTGAGGCTGGGCAGTCCACCTCCAGCACCTCAAGCCTTCTCTGCCCAGCAATGACAGGGCACTGACCGCGCCACCGCCACAGGCCTGTCCGTGGTCAGCAGAGCCAGGCAGCCCCTCCTCTAGCTCTCGGAGAGGCCTGGTGCAGAGGCAGAGCACCTGCAGCCACCTACCTAGGTCTCTTCACTTCGTCCTCTGACTTCCAGAGAGAGGCAGGACAGCCAGGGGTCACATGCAGAGGACAGCAAGAGCAGGCAGAGAGGGACAAAGGCAAACTGCCCACCGAGCCTTTCAGAGAGGGCGCTGGAGAGAGGCACAAGATGCTACTCTGTCAGCAGGAACGGGTGCTGCCAGAGGCCTGGTGGTGGGCACGAAGGAGGAGCTCTAAGCTAGCTCATGGTGGGACTCCCAGAGAGGAAGAGGCCTACAGCACTGACACACTCAGGCCACCATCTGGCAATGAGTGACGGGGCCTGACCTCTTCCAGAGAGGACTCAGGACCCAGTGCCCTGGTCCCGAGCACCATCTGCCATGAACAGCCTGTTCTCCAGAGCAGTTGAGCCCACGGGGCCTGCACGCTGATGACAGCACCCTGCAGCAGTCCAGGGAGAACGGTGACAGTGGAGGGCGGGACGTGATCAAAGATGAAAGGCAAGAGATCCCTGAGCCAAAGTGCCACTCCAAGTGCCATCTAGGTGCCAACACACCAAGGAGACCGCATGAGGCACCTGAATGCAAAGCCCAGAATGTGCATGGTGCCCGGCTCTGGAGAGCTTATGGTATGTCACACAGCCACCAGGACAACAGCCACCAAGAGGGTCTGGGAGGCAGGGAGCACGTCCTCGAGGTGGCATTCTGTACCCAGCCAGGGTGCCCCGCTCCACCAACCAAGCTTTGAGGAAATATTTATCTGACTTTTGGCAACTTCTTCAACCACGTGTATTTTTTCAAGAAAATACAAGGAAAATTAATCTTTCAAAAAAACTAGTAGCAGTTTTTTAGGATAATAAAACATTGCTTCCGTTTTCTTCTTTGTATTCTACTCTTCTCTACTATCCACAATCCCTTCCAAAAATATTTAGGATACTGGTTGTAAAAACAATCAGAGTGGGTCGTCGTCTCTCAGGCCGCGCAGGGAGCAGGTGAGGTAGTGGGAGGATTTCTCATCATGTTCCCAGAGTCCATGGTCAAGGCCAAAAAACAAGGAGCCAAAAATCAGCAAATAATGAGTCTTCACATTCAAGGTCTGCAGAAAGCCTCTCTTAGCTGATCTTGGTAAATACGGCCGAGTAACATCAACCACGTTCTGATGCTACCTCTGGCCCTTGAAGAAGCTGCTATCCCCATTTGACAGCTGAGAAAACTGAGACCTGGGAAAGCTAAGGGGCAGAACTTCCAAGACACAGTTCCCACCTGCAAGACTCAGGACTGAAGCCCCACACCACAGCTCCGCCCCTGGGTTCATTCCCCCTGTCGGACACCCTGGGTCATGGGAGGACACAGTTCGTCTCCTTCCCTGTGAGCCTGGGCCTGGGTCAAGCAGCAGGAGCCAAGCTCTGGGGGTTGTAGGTGGGGCCTTCGCAGGCCACACCTCCTCGCCAGCGTCAGTCAGAGCAGGGACACCTGCAGGCTTGCTGGCCAGGAAGCAGGATCCTCTCTGGAAACATGGGACCCCGCAGCCTCTGACCAGAACAGAAGTTTCTGAAGGCCTCCCTGCTCTGGACAGCCCACTGGGCCCAGCACTGAGGTAGAAATAGGGGGACTGGGACTCCTCAGCGGGAGTGGACGCTGCCCAGGCTACAAGCCCCAGCCAGCATAGACCATCAGCCGAGCAGGTCCGTGTCTGTCAGTTGACACCCAGAGGCCACATAGGCCCCAGGTAGGGCTGGAAAGGGGCTTCCCTGGCTTCCAGTCAGGAGAAAGTTTTGCCATGCCACGGCCACGGGGTGGTCCCGCTGAACGGCCACGGGGTGGTCAGGTGGCTCAGGCCCTGCTCGTCATTGGTCTTTGCTCCTGCTGCTCCTGCTGCTGGGGGGGCCTGGAAGGGTGAGGAACATGCCCTTCCAGGGCACTGTCCCCACGTTCTGCACGTGGGACTTAAGGAGTGTGTCAGATGGCGTGCCCTGCTCCTCGGGGCTGGCGGTGTCCCTGGAACAGAAAAGATCCTCTGGCGTTTCCTAATAAATACCTGTGTGTAATGTTTCCCCAGCCTTCTAATTTATGTGTAATGACAATGACAGTTTGACTTAGCAAGGTTTAGGATTTTATTCACACAGATAAGTTAGCACCACCTGTCCCAGCCTTGGGAAATGGTGTTTCCCGGCCTTATTTATTATACAGAGTGAAGTCACCAGGGGCCCATAAAGCCCGCTGCGGAGAAGCTGCGGTTCATAATGGTCTCCATCATGTACAATCGCCCTCATACAACTTAGGAGGTGCGTTCTGGCCGTCAGGGCCGTGACAAAACACCTCGACCCAGCATTTTCCTACATCCTGATGAGATGGCAGAATTGCCGGGTCATTAACCAGTGACTCCTAAATCCTCCCCGCGCTGCCAAGAGCTACAACCTTGGGTTCTACTCTGCCCAGGCCACATAGGCTGTGCTCCCTGGTCCCGCCAGCCAGCAGATTCCTCCATCCTGGGGCTCAGAGCCTCGTGGCAGAGGTGGCTGGGGGCTGGGGCTGACCCTGCCATGTGTCTTCGGAGTCTGAGCTGACAGCAGGCCAGCCGCGGGCCCAGGCGTGCAAAGGCAGATGTGGGTGGCCTGTTCACATGCCCCCGAGACCTGGCTCCCAGCGCCTCGTAAGTGGTCTGAACTCAGAGTGTTTTTCCAGCAAAACCTTCAATTAAAAGAACACTCCAAATTTTCTCTGTAAACCCAATCATGACCTCTTCAGAGGAAAAATGCCCCAGATAAAGGAATTGTAACAAATACTGCATTTATTTACCATAAAAACCACCATTAAGGACGGCCAGCCCGCAAAGTGCACACAGCGATTAGCGGCCAATTACAGGATTACTGGCAGCGCCAGCCGAGAGCCAGCTCTGAGCACACTCAGCCCGGAGAGCAGTCACGTGGGCGCGACCACGGTGCCCTCTGAGGGGCTCTGCACACGTCACCCAGGCAAGCGTCCGTCCACACCTCCTGCTCCTCACCGTCTACCCTCATCGTGCTAAGGGCGGGACTCCTGGAAGATCTGCAGGCCACACGGGCCAGCTGCTTGAGAGCTGAGAGTCAGCATGGTCTGCACATGGCGGAGGGGGACAAGTCATTATATTTTTGTTCTTCCTCTTGAATCTACCTGAATGGAGAAGTCATCCCAGACAGGAGGCTGCCCAGCCTTGGGGTGTGTGACAGCTGGGCACAGCATCTGGGCACAGCCCAGCCATGCCAGCACCACCCAGCCACTTGAGGTCTCCAAGCCTGGCCCCTTCCTGGGAAAGGCTGGAGAGGTGGGAATGGGGACGTGCCGGTTCTGGGGGCAGCACCAAGATACCATGTGGGGCGTGACTCATATGAGACCCCCTCGTCCAGGGAGAAAGGACACCACCCTAAGGCAGACCTGGGGAAGGAGACAGGTGCTTTTTCATAAGTATGCCGAAGAGCCCTGGAGTCCCAGAGAGGGTGATCCCCGGTCACAGGCCGTCCAGTGGGCTCCCCCTGCCATGGCATGTGGCTGGTGGACCTGGTCATGTTGCTGCCGACCAAGGAGGCAGAGGCACGTGTGAGGTCCTCTGCTGAGGAATGCAGCTGCCTGGGCCTGCGTGAAGGGGCTGCGGGGACCAGGCCCCGGAGCCTGTGCTGGCCCCACACCTCTCTGCAGATGACCCCATGCACCAAGCTGACCCACATTGCATCTCCTTTCTAAGGGTCTGGAGGTGGCCCAATGCCTCTAGGTCCATTCAGGCTGCTACAACAGAGTGCTAGAGACAGGTGGCTTATACCAACAAATTCCATCCTCCCAGTCCTGAAGGCTGAAGTCCAAGGTCAAGGTGCAGAGTCTGACGAGGACCTGCCTCCTGGTCTCCAAAACCCTTCTAGCTGCCTGCCATGGAGGAAAGGGAAGGGGATTCCCTGGGGCTTCTCCAGAAGGGTGCTGTTCCCAGGGCCTCTGCACTCCCAGAGGCCCCAAAGGCCACCATCAGCTGGGCCAGAAATACACACGGATTTCAGGAGGACACAAACCTTCGGGCCACAGCTGTGCCCATCTGCATGACTCGGTCTCCCTCAGCCTGACTAGCCTGCCCTAGAAAGGAGCCAGTTCTAGCAGGCGAGGCGCGTGCCCCAGTGCTGGGGCTCCTTCCTCCAAAGGCTGGCGGTGTCCACGGGGAGACTGTGGCCCTGGTGCAGCCCTGGTGGCAGAAGCTGCCGGCCTGTCACGGGAGTCAGAATGGGAGAGAAATTGAATTAAACGGGCGGCGGGTTATAATGCAGTGCCAGAGTCCTGAGGAGCATCCACATTCAAGCGAAGACCGTGAGGTAAATAAATACCAACAGGAGACAGCAAGCTCAGAGCTGGGACGCTAATGTGCAAGACTCTTAATATCTAATATGCAATACCCACGTCAGAACCAATAAGGCTGCCAATGCATCACCATCAGAGCGAGGCTATTTCAGGAAATGGAATCTTATTAGGACTTTTCCAAAGCTTCCTCTCTCCTTCCTGGCCTGTCTCCTGACACTGGACACTGGCCCCTCTTACTGCAGTACACACCCATCTCCTGGGTGAAGAGACAGGACAGGCAGATAATCAGGCCATTAGGCAGCAGTGACCAGGCTGGGCAGGTGCCGGCTTCCTCTGGGCTCGCTCCTCCCAGACACGGGTGTGGGGCCTGCCTGTCGAGCAGCTCCGAGGCACACAGCTGCCTGGAAGGACCAGACAGATGGTGGCCTGGTGCAGGGAGAGGGGATCCACGTCCTCTTCTCCCTGCCCTGCTGTCCCTGCTTGGGCTGTGCCACCCGGCACCAAGTGCGGCCTCCCAGGAGACCACCCACGTTGCTGGGGGTGGCTCCCTTCTGCTACCTGCTCCCACGCAGACCCTGACCACTGAGCCCTGGGGGACAGACCAGGTGGACCTCAAGAGGGTCCTGAGAGAACACTCCCCGGGGAACATCACACAGGGTCACAGGGCAGCCTCCGTCAGCTTCCCGCCCAGGGGGGTGGGTCCTGTGAATGTCACCGTCCCCAGGGAACAGCAGCTCCAGCCCAGGAGCTGCAGACCTCAGTGTGTGATCCACACTAGTGATTCATGGTGTGACACATCTGGCGGGGGTCACAGCCCACAGCACACCAAGAGGACCCTCGTGCCAAATGTGGCCTTTAGTTAAGCACAGTGCGTGGGTCCTGGACCATCAGCCGTAGCCCAGCAGCCCCACCACTGCAAGCGGACCCAGGGCTGGGAAAGAGGATGCCTTCGGTTCTACTTCTCTAGGAAACAAACTTCTCTAATATTCTAAGATCTGTCAAAACAGAGAAACAAACACCCTGGCTCCAGATGCTGTAGAACAAGCCTTGTGGCCCACACCTGCTTCTCAGCCGAGATCAAAGCTCAGAGTCCTCCCACGGAGGGAGGACCAGGGACCTGGGGTTCCCCGCCCACCTGTCCTCTCTGACTGCATGGGTCCAGCTCTCAGGAGAAGCACAAGTCCCCTCCTGGATGGCAGACACTGGGGAAGGCACATCGTGGCCACTGCCAGACGCGGGGCACACTGATCCCACTTCTGCCCACACGGCCATCAAAGACCACCAGGCCAGGGGCCCATGGCAGGCCATGCCCCATGGAGCCCGTCCTTGTTCTCCTGGGAAGGGGCAGGAGGCCAGGGCTGCGGAGTGGGGACAGGGGAGTGGGAGTATCCCCCACCTCCCCGCTGGCTGCAAGCCCCACCCTGGGAGGTTTGCAGAGGTGGAACAGGAAAGAGGGAAACAGAAACCCCACAGGTCCCTTAGCCTTCGGGGACGGGAGGGACACATACAGCAATCTGTGATCGCGGTCCCGCTGCCGCCAGTGTGAGACGCACAGCTGATAAACGTGATGTGATGAGGGACGGGCCTGCCCCCAGGTCTGCCACAGGAAGTGCTTCAGGATTTGAGGCCTGATCATCCGTGTACAAGGCCGGAACCTTCCAGGAGCCAAATGGGGTCGGCCGGATATCCCTGCACAGAGAAAAAGCCCAACTCCAGGCCCAGCCCACACCTTGAAAGGCACCGATGGGACATGGACCAGGGCTGAGACGGCCCTTCTCCTGTGGACTCTATGGCCACAAAGGGCAAGAGATGAGGCCGTGACACAGAGCTGCAGGCCTCACTCCAACCAAGGTCCCTGACCACAGGAGAGGACCAGCTATGGACCAGACAGCTCAGGCAATGGGCCCAGTCACTTGGATGGACAGGCCCCTGCACAGATGTAACAGAAGACTGTGACCAACAAGGCTGGGGACACAAGGGTCACTTCACAAGGAGGCCATTCAGCTCACTGATAAAACAACGCACGGCTGTCATTATTACTCCACAGAGAAAGCCAAGTGCACACCCCCAGGAAGAGCCACGTCGCCCAGGAGGACGGCTGAAGGGACGACTGAGCCGGGTGGGCTGTCGCGAGCGCCGCCCAGCCGCACGGAGGCACATCCAGTATCGGGCCTGCTCAGAGGAACTCCTGGCCCCACCATCCAACGGACTCACAGCTCCATCACCTGCAGGAACGTGCCAGAGATTCAGGGGCTTGTATGTAAGCCACAGGGTGTTTGTGACGCTCCATCTGTCATGGCCTGGAGCTCAAGTGCCCACTGCCTATGTTCTGGAGAACAGCAGACCCCAGTGCAGCCACACAGAGATGCCTGTGAAGAAAATAGGGAATACCTCCGGATGGCTCAGAGTCCCCCAGGAGGGGCCAGGCACAGCGTGCAGTGCCAGCCTCGTCGTGGGAGCTGCAGGACAGAAGATCTGACAGACAGAGGCCAGGGCCCAGGAAACTGCAGAGTACAGTGGATCCGGACCAGAACATCAGGGCTCTGACTCACCCGACGCACGCGAGTCAAATGCCTGTCTCCTGGGGTTGAAAAGAACGGTCACTCGCTTTGGATTCTAATCCCAAGTGTAAGATCATGAATCTCTTTGGCAAGTGTCTACACAAGTGTATCTGTGAAACTACAGGGGAGTGTAGACACTATTTTAAGGCAACTCAATAAGGCCCCATGGCAGGGGGAGGCTGGGCCTAGACACAGGCCCCATGGCAGGGGACAGGCTGGGCCTAGACACAGGCCCCATGGCAGGGGACAGGCTGGGCCTAGACACAGGCCCCATGGCAGGGGGGAGACCAGGCCCCATGGCAGGGTGATGGGGGCCGTGAGACATTGTGTTTACTCAGCCCAGGTTTGGGGACACTTCCTTGTAGCAGAGGGCATCAGAGTCAACATTCAAAGGAGGAGCCGCTGTCCCTGGCATCCCGGGGTGGCTGCAGAAGCCTTTGCAGGTGCCCCAGCTCTCGCATGCTCAGTCCTTTCTGCAGAATGGGGCAGTGGGCACAGAACTCGATCCCTCAGACACTTAACACCCCCAAACACCGGAGATTGGCAGGGGAGCCAGCCTCTGCCTGTGGTGGATAGGGAGAGGGCCCTTGGCCAGCAGAGCCTGTGCCCAGGACTCTGTTCACCTTTCTTCCCTCCCACTGACCAGTCCCACCAACACCCACCTCTTCACACCATCCACCACTGCCTGACCCCTCCCACCTCCACCACTTGGATAGCGGCAGAGATCTCCGCTGAGGCCTTTGGATGGCTGGTCACATTTCCAGCACCACCCTGTAGTTCTCAGCCCAGACCCCTATCCAGGCTAAGGGTCATGGAGAACGCCCTCTTTGTGAGCCTACAGCAGGACATGGTGCTGGTGGCTGAGGAGCAGCAGTGGGTCAAGCTGACCTCACTGACCACAGCCTGGCCCTGGTGCTGGGCACACAGGATGCGCTGGGCAAACCTTCTTCCCACAAAGGTCAACTGGAGCAGGAGAGCCCGTGCCTCCCTGGGCCACACTAGTGGAGGGGAACAGGGCCTCCTTAAACACACTTGAGTCTCCAACCAAGAACTGGCCAGCCACCCGCCCCAGGTGTTCAGGACCCAAACACTGGCTGCACACAGATCATGCCATTCCCACCAGGAGCCCCGCAGCGTATGCCCTCGAAGTCTCCATCAGGAGAGCGACACTCACCTCCACGTCACAGACCAGGACACCAAGGTCTGGTGCCGGGCTGACTCCCTCACCACAGCGCTGCCCAGGGGCGGGGCGGGCTCTGGTCCTCAGGCTCTGGCCCTGCCTCAGCGCGTCTCTGCTGGGCTGCCAATGAATGAGGTCTGCGTGCCGAAACTGCCCCTGGAGCTGAGCCTAGCCCAGGTTCGTGACAGAGCTGCTGAACGCTGCCATCAGAAAGGAAGTGTCTCCACAGTAAAAAGTTAAGCGACGATCCCTCGGGGTCGGACCCCACTGCAACCGTCCATGGTTTCCAGGGCGGCTGGGACCCCTCATTGCCCTCTCCTCCCATCCCACAGGAATCGTAAAACACACTCATCTCATCACAGACTCAAAATTGCTCAAGGATAACTTGAGGTCGAAGTTTTCTACACTCGACCACCCACCAAGAAGCCGTGGATCCTTCTCAGCTATGGGTACAGCGGGGTCCTCGAGGACTAAGGCATCGGAGAACATATCACAGGGCTGGGCTGTGCACAGCACACCTGACCCAGAGGCCTAGACCCGGAAATGTTCTGGTTTGGACATAAGGTGTCCTCCAAAAGTGAGTGCGTCGACGCAGGAAGTGAATGGGTATGAGAGGTGCATGCACTGACGGTCTGATGATCTAATGGATCACAGGGTATTGACCTTAGGCAGGTGGGCGCGTGGGGGAAGAGGAAGCGGGTCACTGGGGCTGTGCTTTGGGAATCATATATCTTGTCCTCATGTTCTCCCTCCCTCCCTCCCTCTCTCTCCCCCTCTACTTCCTGGCTGCCATGATCTGAGCAGTGCTCCTTCTTCATGCCCTTCACCAAGATCTTCTGCCTCACCTTAGGAGCAGAGCCATGCACTCAGCCAACCTCAGAACAAACCTCCGAAGCCATGAGCCAAAATAAGCTGGTCTTGCCAGGTATATTGCTCGCAGAGACAAAAAGCTAACAGAAACCGGTACCGAGAAGTGGGGCCGTTGTTACGACTAACCAGACCACAGAATTCAGAAACCTTTGGAACTGGTTTGCGGGACGAGTTTGGAGGAGTTTGAGGTGCAGGCTGAAGAAGCCTCACAATGCTCTAGGCAGAGCTTCCTGGGCAATTCTCGTGGGAGCACAGGAGGTGAGGAAGCTGACAGGGACGCAGACAGTGAAGACTGCTCACGGGGGCTGTTTCAAGGGGAACAGGACTCAACGGGGAACTGAACTAGAGGCCTTTCATGTTCCCTTCTGGTAAAGAACTTGCGCACACTTTTCCATGAACTGAGATTGGGTTTAAAAGTGACGGGTTAATCATCTGGCGGAGGACATTTCAAGGCAGCACAGCATTCATGGCAGTGACACAGGTACTTCTGGCAGCTTTCAGCCAGGCTTGCTGTGAGAATCAGAAGCGGAGAGAAGAGATAAAGATTTGAAAAAATTGCTGTTTGGCGAGAGAAACGTACAAAACTGGGGCCAAGAAGATGGGGTACCAAAGGGATCATAGCCGCTAGAGATACCAAGTAATCAGCCTAAAGACAAGAGGCTAATTAGGTGGCTTGAGGGCATTTCAGACATCCACAAGAAGAAACCCATCCCAGGCTAAAAGGTGGAAAAATGACAACTCTGGGGAGAGCTTGGGGTCACCCTGCATACACAAGAAAGCGGTTTCGCCAGGCTTGCTGCGCGGTGCTCGGTTGTCCAGGCACTCAGAAGCCACTGCGTCCACAGTCCGAGGTGTCCTGGTCCTACCGCAGCTGGGAGCAGACCTTGGCATGGTGCCAGTTCTGCAGGGCTGTGGGATGCTGGAATTAGAGGGTCATGAGGTTGCCACCAAGACTTCAAAGAAAGGCCTAGGAGGCCAGGCAAAGTGTGGCAGAGTGAGACTCCCTGAGGACAGTCCCCGAGGGCGATGTGTGAAGATGAGCGCATGGGGCTGAAGCTGCAGTGGAGACCCCCAGCACTAGAGATGCAGTAAAGTGTGTTGTCTGCAGAGGAAGCTGCGGGCTATGGACAGAGTCAGCCTCGAAAGAGACCCTGAGTGCGGCAGTGGGCAGGGCCACGGAGTGAGGCTGTCCAGGCCCTGCAGAGAACATGTGCTCCAGATGCTGGATGTGCAGCTGCGGAACGGTTTGCCATCAGGGTTGAGTCTTGTTTTGGTCCCATCCCTCCGTTCTGTACCCCATTCCTCCCTTTTGGAGTAGGAGTGCTTCCTGGTGTCACTCTGAATCAGATGTACCTGACTTGATTTTGATTTTGATAGGAGCTCCCCGCAAGAATTTCCCCTGAGTCTCAGAGAAGATTCTGGACTTACACTTTTGGGCACTGATAGAACTCTTCGGACTCTTGGGACTCTGGGAGATGAACTGATCATATTTTGAGATGAGTAGGAGCTTTGAGGGCCAGTGGCAGAATATTATGGTCTGGATATGAGAGCCATGACCTCACACTGGATTAATCCACTTGATGGTCTAATGATCTGAATCTATTACTAGGTACTACTGCAGGCAGGTGAGGCATGGCTGGAGGAACTAAGTCACAGGGACAGGCCTTGGGGTTCCATATCTGGACCTTGGCTCCCCACGCTGTCTCTTCTGTCTCTGCTTCCTAGTCCCCTGAGCTCAGCAGCTTCCCACTGCTAGGCTCTTCTGCCATGACGCCCTGCCTCGCCTCAACCCGCAGCCCGGGGACAAACCAGCCGTGGACTGAACCTCTAAAACTGGACCCCAGAATGAGCTTCCCTCCTTCCAGGTGTCCTTCTCAGGTATTTTGGTCAGAGTGATGCAAAGCTGAACTACACAGGGGACAATGCTGGGAGAATCCCCCCGACCAGAAGGTGCACTGGAGTCCAGGAGCAAGAGGAAGAAGACAGGTGGCCAGGTGCCCCCAGTGACCGGAGAATGGAAGAATGGGGGGGTCAGGGCCATTCCCCACTGAACCCGTGTTACATTACCAAAGCAGCCTACAGTTTTCCTGGCTGTGACTGGCTTTTCATCATGCACTTAATGTCCTCTGAGACCTCACATAACGTCAAAGACAGCACGGGGATTTCTTATCCAGGGCCCTCCCGAGGAAGGTGGAGGAACACGGGCGCTGGTGGGCAGTGCCAGCCCTCAGCAGTCATACAGTAAAGCCCGCAGTCACGCAGGCCAGGCAGGGAGGCCTGCCCAGGCCCAGCACCAGCGCCAGCCCATGGCCACTGCACAGTCAGAAAGGACCACACAGCCAAGACAGGGTCGCTGCCTCCCTCAGGAAGGATCCTGGGCCTGGGGCCCCTCCACCCACACCACTGTCTCATTCAGATGCCCCCCAAAATAAGGAATCTGCATCTGCCTGGGCATGGCCTGTGGACCCCAGCTTTGCTGCCTCTCCACCAGGACCCAACCTCACAGAGACCCCTGAGGACATGCAGCCGTCCTTTCTCACTCTGCACACCCACGTAGCGGGTCGGGGACAGCTCAGAGATGCACGGTCATTTCCAGGAAGGAACAGCAGTTTTCTCTGTGGCACTTACACCCTGGGACCCCCACCTTCTAGCTGTATGCGTGGGAAGTCCCACCCTGCCGTGGCTCAGTTTCCAGGCCTGTGGCCTGGGTCACCTCCAGGGAGCGGCGGTGTCTCCCGCGGGGCAAGTTGTGAGAACATAATGGGGTGATCCATTTCAAGCCTCCAGTGAGGAGCTGGTGGGGAGGGGCCCATAGGTGCTGGCCGTCATAACTGTCCTCCGAGCTCTGCCACTCCACATCAGGTGGCTGTGCTCGGGGATGTGAAGTCACCCACATTTCAACTCTACTCAGAGAAGCAGGAGCTGGGGAGATGGCACCCTCCTCCCCAGGGTGACAGAGACACGGCCATCCATCCAAGCTCAGCAAGAAAGCGAAACCCCCGTCTCTAGGCTAGGCCTGTCGCCGTCCTTGCCGGGTCACCAGAGCCTTCTGGGGGAGGCCATGGACGTCTGCTGGTAAGGGCTTTGTACACCCACCCGCAGGGGGCCCTGTGGGCCTGAGGGCCGGTAGGTGGACAGGACAGACTCGGCCTGCAGCTCTGCGGCACCCGGCAGGCCCTGCGCACCCTTCCCTGGGGAACTGGGGCAAGTGTCCCTGAAGAGGGCAGACCCATCAGCTCTCAGTTTCCTTAAAGATTTAAAGAGAATTTCCTTCAAGATCTTTTTTAAAGCTATTTCTTCTTGCTAATGGTGATGATTCCCAGAGGCTGGTTAAGGTGGAACAAAGAAGGGGGTGGCATTAGCACAGAGGGCACTGGACACGTCAAGTGTCATCAAGGACCTGACGGACACTGCTCAGACGCAAGACCTATGGCAGCCCCGTCCTTCCCACTGTGACCAGCTGGACCCACAGGTCCAACAGCTCTGCTCACCGTCACATCTCCCTGAAAGCCTGCTCCATCCAGACATCCGAGAGGTGCATGCATCACGCGGACGTCCTCGGAGCGCCTGTCGCTCCCAGACAATAGGCTCCA